TTAAAACCATGTAAAATGTCTTATCTTACTAACAAAACATTCAGTTTTTTCTTCTTTGTGAAACCTTGAATCAGAATGTACTAGTGAGTAAGGATGTTTATATTCCAGTGGTGTAGCTGAACCAGACAGGTCTGCAGCACATTGGTTTATTTTTAGACCTGGGTTGCCATTTTTATCCTGCAAAAATATTCATCAGTGTCTTGCTGACAGGCCATCAGTTTTATAAATGTGTCACATAGACTAGATTTTGTTCTTTGTCTCATTTTCCCTCTAACTCTTCTCTTTGATTTGTTCATGCAACTGTTTGGAGGAGGGGAATGTTTTTTATTTCAATTCATGTATCAGATGCGTCAATTCACAGATTTTCAGCATCACACAGTTCATTCATTTATCTGCAGCTGCTTACACATCTCTCCTTATTGTCTGAAACGGGAACTGTTGTAGATCACTGAGCTGAAGGCAAGGAAAGTATAAATGCACACACTGGGGGCTCTCTTCATGGGTCTAGTCAATTTTTGGCTGCCTTCTTCATGTGTGTTATTTTATGTATGTATGCATGTGTATGCTCTGTGTGTGTCTATATGTGTTTTCATTTACTTACTGTCTTACTCAACAAAAGACTTGCATTATTTTGCATGAAAAATAGCTGCATAAGGTCTAGGGATTACCATATGTGGCAAAAAGCCTGTAGGCTGGGGTAGAAAATAAATCCACCATTATTTTTAAATACACAAAACACCAGTCGTATTTGTTAGGAGACCGTAGCCTGTTTGGGCTACTATAACAAAATACCATAAATTGGGAGGTTTATAAACAACAGAAGTTTATTTCTCACAGCTTTGAAGATGATGAAGTCTAAGATCAATGCCCCAGCAGATTTGCTATCTGGTGAGGACCTGCTTTTCTGGTTCATAAATGGCTTCTTCTCACTGTGACTTCACGTGGCAGAAGGAGCAGATGACCTCAGTCTGGCCTCTAAAAGAACACTGATCCTATTCTTGAGGGCTCTGTTCTCATGACCTGATAACTTCCCCCAAGCCCCACCTCCTAGAACCATCAACTTGTGGGGGTGATTAGGCTTTCAACATCTGAATTTTGGAGGAACACAGCCATTCAGACCATAGCAAAGACAGTTTTTTGATTCCAGATGCTCGAGTGACAAATACAGCCAAAATAGAAGAAAAATTCCTGCAACCAAGAGACAGGAGGGCACATACTTGTAAACATAGCAAATTAGTTGTTTAACATTGTATATTCATGTCTCATTTTTTAAAAGCTCAGATTTCCAGTGCAGGATTGGTATTCACTTGTCTATTTCAGTAAAAAATATTTTCTGAGTACCGACTTAAGGGCCTCATAGAGTAATTGCTTTGGTGGATACCACACTTGGAGAACAGGATTCTTGACTTGTAGGGCTTATAGTTACTTTAAGAAGAAAAGACTCATATATGAATATTTCACAGATATGGCAGTATAGCATACTATGTCAGAGTGTAGGCACTGGAACCAGAAACTTGAATTTACAATTTATACCAATTATTTGTGTTACTTTGGGCAAGTTGTTTAGCTTTTCTGAGCCTCAGTTTCTTCATCTATAAAATTGTTATGTTCCTCAGAAGTTACTGTAAAGGTCTAAAAAAGATGATGCTTATTTAGCAACGTACTTAAAATACTGGACATCATGCCTAAAACATAGTAAGCACATAAGAAATGCTAGTTAACTTTTAATAGCAGTAATAACAATGGTGGGGATAGTAACAAATATCCTGTGAATATTCTATAGTGTTTTAACACTAGTTAAAACAGGAAGATATTCAGCTGTAACAGAACACATGACTGTGATGGCTTAAACAGATGAGGATTTATTTATCTAACAAGAAGTCTGGGGTAGACCAGATTGAATATTCATTATTCAAGAATATTTACTGATAATCCACTATATGCCGGGTACTATTCTAGGCACAGAGAATTCATCCATTAATAACATGCAATTATTCTTACCCTCATGAAGCTTGCATTCTTCATGTAAGGGGAGAGAAGCAACACAACAACAAAAAACAATATAAAGATGTCAGTCATTGCCATGTTGGAAGGTGAGCCATAAGGGAACTGTAGAGTTTAGTAAATGAAGCCTAAGTGAGAGAAAGGCACAACAGAGGAACACATGTGAAAAAGGAAGGAGGAGCCATCTGAACCATCTCAAAATGGACTTTTGGTGAGTGTCTGCATTATCAGGAATCACAAATGCAAGATTTTTGTAAGACTTCCGAATTAAAAATTTTTCCATGTTATCGTTGTTATTTTCATTTTGTAACAATTAGCAATCAGATATTTAAAACAAGTAATAATGATGATACTATTATGTTGTGCTTAGCAAACATTGTTCTCAACACTTAATACCACTGCTAATAAAAATCTACTGGTAGATACTTATATAAAACTAATTATGTGCCAGAAACTGTTCTAAGGAGTTGATATTCATATTCTAATTTTTATTTTAATCTTTAATACTATTCCCATTTTACAGGTGAGTGAAGTTAGGTACTTAAGTAACTTGGACCAGGGTTATTTGTCTCTAAGGACAGTGAGAAAAGAGGTAGAGAGAATCGCTTTCCATAGTGGGGGAGAGAATGGGTGAGGAAATGTTAAAGCAGGTTGAATTCCTTAAAGCCTGAGCAGTGGAAGAAAGGAGGAATGGAAAGCCTGAGAAGGTCTTGAGATGGTGGGTATAAACACAGCTACCCTCGATTTTTACTTTGGTTGAATTTTGCCATGAGATGTGATTTGGTCAAGAGCTCTGTTGTATTTCAAAGACAGGCTTTCCAGTGCTAAGTGTCTTATACCTTACTCATAAGGTACCATTAGAATCCTTTGTTCATGAAGAGAGTGTCTTCTGTTATTTGTTTTTTTACTCTTGGTTATCTCTTGAATTAAATGAAAGAATAATTTTCCAGTGTCAACACAAGCCTTCATGTGGGCCAGATTCTCAAGATTAAGCACATTTAGGTAGTATCTGAATAGCTCTTATAGAACAAATGTTATGACATGTTCTGTCTTAAAATTTCTGTCTGTGTTCTTGTACACAGTCTGTCCCAGATTAGAAGCTGTCAGAATACAGGTGTGGTCTACTCTTCAAACCTGGTGTTAGAAAATATAAAAATCTGTGAAACTAGCTAAAATGGGGGTGGAGACTGGGAGAATATTTGCATTCTAAAAAAATTCTTAAGGTTTCCGTTAAGTTAATTGGGAAACTTTGCTTTACATAATGATTCAAAGAACATATTTTATTTATATAGCATAAAAATGTGAGACCACATTTACTACATAAAGGGTAAACTTACTTAAATACACTTTATATTAAGGATTCAGTCATGACACAATGTCATGCTCATTCTCAGTGAAGGAGACAATTGAATAGTCAGATAGCACATGATAGAAAGGACCTTGGCACAGATCAGGAAGCCCCTGAAGCTGAGTGTGATATAAATTCCCCCATAGAAAAAAAACACCATCTCTTAATGCTGAGTTTTACAACTTTCTCCAGAGTACTTGGTGTTATGGTAAAGCAGTAGAAAAAACACGATTTGCCCCCTATTCACCCTTTTTGAGTTTGTTGTCTGAGCAGATCTTCTTTTCTGCGCTTTGCCCTCTTGTTCTCAGGTTGGGACTGAGGAACTATAGCAGGAAGAGTACAGTGGGTGGTGGCCTCCCATTTCTCCAAAGGTGGTAGGGTAGGTTTGGGTCTTCTGTGTTCATTTGTCTCACTTCTGGAAAACCTGAGTTTAAGTGTATTCTATCCTAGGCTTTAAATGTTAACTGGATTAAGCATGTCTCATTGTGGCAGTAACCACATAGGGACTTGCATAGTGTAATTCTATTTAACTAAGTCAGCATTTACAGAATATAATTTTATTTGAATTTTAAACTTCATAAAACATTACACAAGAAATACATTTATGGGAGTGCACCTTCATTTTACACTGAAGTTTTCTTTCCCTGGTTTAAGAACAATTTTTTAAAAAGAAATACATTTGCTTATTACAGAACAATTAGAAAATACAGTTAAGTTTTTTTAAAAAAAGGAAATAAAAATTACTTACATTCCTCTACCTAGAGGTAGCTACCATCAACTTTTTGGTCTGTATGTGACTTTTGAGATTCTTTACATCTTTTCACCAAATACAAAAAATGACTACTATACAAGTTACTCCTATTACTGTATCTGTATCTCATAAATTGGCTTATTTATGAACTAGATTATTGGTAAGCTTCCTTTGCCTCATCATTAGATAATGGTCATTAGAAAGTTCAATTGACAGTCTTCTAGAGAAATAAACATTGTTGAAACAAAAATAGTCGATACTGTTCCAGCTTCTCTTTACTTCGGTATATATCATAGACAGTTTCCCCTGCCAATCACTAATCACTGGTGCCATAATTTTGATGGCTGCATTGTGTTCCACCGTATTAATATCTATTATGCTACATATTCTATAGATATAAATATGGGTAGACTATAGAGTAGTATATATGACATAATTATATCTGATTTATATGCTATCTATACACCATATGTGCATATGCTCTATAAATATATAATTTAGTGATCCTTTACTGTTGGATGGTTTCAATTTTGTTGTTGTAAACAGTGCTGTCATATATTAACATCCTGAAAGTCTTGTTCATTCCGAAAAGCTAAAAAGGACACGCAGTAGAGTAGTAAGTTAGTAAGAACCAGCAGATGGCTTAGAAAGGCGTGACATTTAAAAAATTGTTTCAGATGTCTTTGTATCTTGAAGATCATGACAAATTCAGAAAAAGAGTAAACTGTATCTGACAGAACCTAATAAAATACTGAATTTGTGAGTTTAGTAGTGTTCTAATGTGAGGAATTGAAGACGTTTTCAAACTGTTAAATAACAGATAGTATTTTTCCAGCATATCTGCGAGTTAGGTGAGGAAGTCGGTAAACAGCACAACTACAACTTCAGGCATCAGAGGAATTGTTTATTCTCTCTTTGAATTCTAGTCCAGATAGTAAAAAACTTTGTTAAATAATTTACATTTGAAACTTTTACTAGAGACCAGTAAGTTTTTACAATGCCTTTGTAGAATAAAAAGAGATATGAGTAAACAGATGAAATCAGTGAAAAGTATATAAGACATTTTACATCAGCCTTTTATGTGAAGTTCTATTTGTGAGAGGTGGCTTCTTGAAGGGAGGAGAGTGTGCTTTCGATTCTATAATGCTATACTTGCTATTCAACCAATGCATCTGGAAAAGTAGCTTGTCTATGAACTTGAATAAGACAAACTTCCAATGGTAAGCAGAAAATGATTTCACCAGGCTTTAGCATTTCCACCCAAGGGCTCACAGGAGAAAATATGAGTTACAGAAACTAGCCTCAAGTTTTCTTATTTTCTTCTTATAGATCTATGAGAAAGAAGTTGAAAAATAATTAAAAGTTTTTTTTTTTTAAATTTGGTTACTCATGTTCTTTCTGTCTTGCACTTTTGAGGATGAGCAGCCGTAGGTGTATTATTTTAAATCACAACTCTGAATTATATTGTTTCTAAAATTATATTGTTTTTATGGATGTGTTTTTTTCAGAAATTAAAGATGATAGAAGTCATTACTATTACTTTATATTCATCATAAGCTTGAAACCAAAGGATCTTGGCTGTATATTTAGTCTGTGAGCACATTTTAAAGATGCTGAAATGAAGCCTCAGAAATGTTAACCACTGGTAGACGTTCATGTAGTCAGCAGGATCGGAACTAGAACACAGGCTTTCTGACTGCTGGTGAGCCCACCACTATTTTATGTAGAGTATAATCTCTAATTGAGAAAAAGCGTGCTAGATTACATGTGTTAGATTTGGTTGGAAGTGAATGTCACTGAGTGTTCATTTTGAAAGTGTGTTTGTTGTTCGGTTACTTAGCATAATTTTATTGGCAGTCTTGGGTGTTCCTAAAAAGTAGACAGAGGATCCAGCCAGATGTTCTAGAAGAGGAAGGAACAATATTGAGCTTCCATGTTTTTGGCTCTTCAGGGATGAGAAAAAAAAATTTAGATGAGCGTTCTTCCTTTCCTTCCTCAAATTTGTTGTTGATACCACCATTATATATTTCAGTCTTCAAGATCTACAGTAAATTGTTTATCAAACTATCTTTTGGTTTTTTTGTTTGTTTGTTTTTGTTTTTGAGTAAGAGTCTCACTCTGTCACCCAGGCTGGAGTGCAGTGGCACACTCACGGTCACCACAACCTCTGCCTGCTGGGCTCAGGTGATCTTTCCACCTCAGCCTTCCAAGTAACTGGAACTACAGGTGAGCACCACCATTCCCAGCTAATTTTTTGAATTACTGTAGAGACGAGGTCTCGCCAATTTGCCCAGGCTGGTCTCAAACCCCTGGACTTAGGCAATCCTCTCACCTCTGCCTCCTAAATTGCTGGGTTTACAGGTGTGAGCCACTGTCCCCGGCTCGTACTATCTTTTGGGAAGGCTGTTCTGAAGTTCTAGACTAGGCCTAAGTCAGGCATGACAAGTAGATTGGTTTGATTTCTCCTAGATATAAAGTACCCCAGGTGTGGAAATGCCCAGGCTGCAGCATCAAGGTGTTTAAGTACATGCCTTCAGGGCATTATTTAATCCTTAAAGAAGAAGTATTTACCAGGAGACTGGCTCAAAACAGGACTTTATTGTAGTCATTGTTATTCCTAGTTGCTTAAAAGGAAAATGACTTCTAAGGGTGAATGAAATCCAAGGGCTCTTTGTTTTTGGAGAGTTTACTACTTCTTATTTGAAGAATACTATTACAATCTTAAACTAGATGAAGTAGGTTGAAATAAACCAAATAATCTACACTAGACCTTCCCTGTATGATTATCTACCTTGGTATATGTATACATTGGACTTTTGAAAAGAAGTTAATTAGTGGAATTACCAGGTAGATCTCATTACACCTCTTTCACTTTTATCAGCCCTGAGTTATATATAGTATTTCAAGGACGCTTTTGTAGTAGGCACTGTTGTCCTACTGGTGTGTTTGCATACTGTTCATAAGCTAAGGAAGTGTTTAATTTCATTATTACTCTGCCAGTTAAATATATGCTCATAAGATATGTCAAATGCCAGTAGTTCTTATTTTGAGCTGTAAGGCTCTTTCAATTTGGACTTGTTAAAGTAACTTCAAGCCTGTAGGCATTTATTATATGTAAGTTTCTTTCATAGGAGTATAGGGAATATTATGGCTTATGTTGAACATTAAACAACTGGATAGAATGGACAACTGTCATTTGAATGTTAACCACTTCTCATTAAGAAGAAAATAAAGCAAGGATTATTTACTGGCAATAAGAATCTCATAATTATATCATTGTCTCTTTTTATTTTTGACTGTTTTTGTGAATTAATCTTTAGGATTAAGAACCAGAGAAAAAAATCAGGGAACTTTGGTTCTATTTGCTTTCAGTTATTTGAATTTGTGTACATTAATTTGTAAGACGTTGGGTACTCAGTAAATGTGGCCTCTACTAAGAAGAAGATTAGTCAGGGCTCTGACATACTAGAAACCAAATGTCCAGCCAAACTTAATGATTGTTGCAGTCTATAAAGCCTAGAAGGTTTTTAAAAAGTGGCTGACAGGAGTGGGGAGTAAAGAAAAATGTCCTTCTCAATGGTAAGGAGTGACGGTCACAACATGGAGCTGATTTGCTCCATGCTATATTTGGGAAACACCAGACAGATAGTTTGACTGGAGTTATAAGGCTGGTTAAGGAATAATGAGAAATAAAATTGGGTTCGGCATTATCAGATTAATGAGGAGGGCGCTCTTTGGAGTATTTTTGTTTGCACAGTGCATTATGCTAAATGTGACTGTTATGGGTAGTTCCTAGTTTATAAGGCAATGTTCTATTGTGTAGTGGGTTTATGTTCTGATGATTATAGGATGATGTGACAATTGGCAAGTCATTTAACCTCTCTGAAGTTGTTTCTTCATCTGTAAAATTGGATCCTATAATCATGTCTTATTATCTGCAGTCCTCACAAGAGTTGTTTGAGCAGCTACTGATTGTACCTCATAGAATGTTGGGACAATTAAAACAGTGTCTGTAAAGTGTCTGTTACTGAGTTTGGCAGACGTTAGGTGCTCAATAAATTTAGATATATGTGTAAGGGCTGTTCTACCCATGTTCCTCTGTGTTCTGTATTGTAAATGGAATGATATATTGATTAGAGTTTCACTTTCTGAATTCAAGGAATGGTACAAGAGAAATAGTACTTTCTGTTCCTTTCCTAGTCTAGCCCTTGGCAAAAAGTGAATCGTTGGTAACTTAAAAAAATTTTTTTTTAATTGAACAAAATCATGAATTTCGCAGCAACCTGGATGGAATTAGAGTTTATAATACTGAGAGATCTTTCACAGAAACAAAGATCTGAGTATCACATGTTCTCACTCATAAGTGGACCTTGAACAACTACCATAATACTTTATAAGAAAAGGATTGACAGTGGTGGGAAACTACGGGGTGGGGGGCAGGGAGGGATAGGGAGGTGAGGTGGGATTAACGGTAGTCAATATCTGTCTGGGGAAGGGAGGGGCACACCTCATCAACAAGAGTAGCTGCACAATGAATATCTGTATTCCTAACCCTTAACTGTACCCCACAATTTTAAAATTATATGTATAAAAGCACACAATAAATGCCAGCTATTATTCATTTTAATGAAAAAAAATTGAGAAAAAACTCCTATCCCAGCCGGGCTCGGTGGCTCAGCCTGTAATCCCGCGCCTTTGGGAAGCTGAGGTGAGTGGATTGCCTGAGCCCGCGGGTTCGAGACCCGCCTGGGCAGCGAGACCTCATCTCTACAATAAATCAAAAAAATCAGCCGGGCGTGGTAGCGCATGCCTGTAATTCCAGCTACTTGGAAGGCTGAGGCGGAAGGATCACCGGAGCCCAGCAGGTCGAGGCTGCGGTGGCCGGGAGCGGCCACTGCACTCCAGTCTGGGCGACAGAGTGAGACTCTAACTCAAAAAAAAAAAAAAAAAAAAAAAAACTCCTATCCCACACTGGCACACCTGTAATCTCAGCACTTTGGGAGGCTGAGGCAGGAGGATTACTGAGCCTTGAAGTTCAAGACCAGTCAGGCAACATAGTGAGACCTTGTCTCTACAAAAAATAAAAATGACCAAGTGTGGTGCCATATGTCCCAGCTACTGTGGGAGGTTGAGTGGGAGGACCTTGAGACAGCACTGAGCTGTGACGTGCCATTCCACTCTAGCCTGGGCAACAGGGTGAGACTGACTCAAAAAAAAAAATTCTCATTACATAAAATTAATCATTAACCACTTCAAAATGTACAATTCGGTGGGATTTAGTACATTCAGTGTTGTACAGCCATCACCTCTCTCTAGCTTCATGGCATTTCCATCACCCTAAAAGGAAACACCATACCCATTAAGCAATCACTCCTTGTCTTCCCTTTCCCATCCCCTGGCAACACACATCTATTTTCTTTCTAGATTTACCTATTCTGGATGTTTCATGTGGAATTATTCAATGTGTGGCCTTTTGTATCTGGCTTCTTTCATTTATTTAACGTGATGTTCATATATAAGGTTCATCAACACTGAAGCAGGTGTCAGTGCTTCATTCCTTTTGACAGCTGAATCAGATTCCATTTTAAGGAGTATACCACATTTTGCTGATCCATTCATCAATTGATGGACATGAGTTGTTTCCACCTTTTGACTATTGTCAGTAGTGCTGCTAGGAACATTCATGCATAAGTTCCTGTTTGAATATAGCTTTTCAATACCTGTGGGCATATAGCTAGGAGTGGAACTGCCATATCATATGGTAATTCTGTTTATCTTTTGGAGGAACTGATAAACTTTTCCTTAGTGGTTGCACCATTTTACATTCCCACCAAAAATGTATGGTGGCTCTAATTTCCCCACATCCTCACCGACATTTACTTGCCATTTTTAAAAATTTTGGTCATTCCTAGTCTTTTACTGTAG